GGCGGGGGAGGAGTTGGAGGTCGGTTCACCACTTCCTCATAAGGAGGTAGTAAATAGTTTGGCAAAAACCTGAAATAAAATGGCAGCGCTGAGTAATTGTGGGCTTCCCGGTAGGCAATCAGGTTGATTTCATGTTGCCGCTGCTGGGCCTGAAGGCGGTGCTTGGCTTCGAGGAGGTGGCACACACAGTAGCAGCTCAGGATGATGATGATGATGATGATGGTCCACACCAGCCAGAACCACCAGAGTTCATAGTAGTAGTTGCAGCACTGAGACTGTCCACAGCAGTGTCCTGTGTCGCAGATGTAGCTTTGATTGTTGGTACCCACACAGGCTTCCTTATCCTGCGGGGGTTCAGCCCTGACTGACAGGGGGCTGGGCAGTGCCTGGAGGAGCAGGAACGCCATGCCACTCAGGAGCCTTCTCTCCATCCCCCTCCTGCTCCTGCTTCTCTGCCACAGTGCAGCCACCTCCCTCCTCCTCCCTCTCTTCTTCCCCCTTTTTATATTTTTTTTTGAGATGGGATCTCACTAAGTTGCTCACACTGGCCTTGAACTTGTGATCTTCCTATCTCAGCCTTCTGAGTAGCTGGGATTATAGGTGTGTGCCACCACACCCAGAAGGACATAGTTTTTGTTTTATAAACTTATTGGGATTGTTCCATTTCTGTCATCCAGTACTTGTTTCACAAGGCCAAGGTCAGCATTCATCAAATTCCCGTTCCTACCTCAAAAATTTCCCCCAATTTATTAACTATCCCMTTTTTCGACTCACTGAATTCTACTATATCATCTTGTCTGTGTTTATAAATCATAAGTTCTATGAGGGTTGCATCTTGAGCAAGTAGGTCTATGGTTGACCTTTATCCAAAGTCTTTGGATCCTGCCTCAAAACTTTGTTTCACCTTTAATTTTCACTTTTAGAGGAGACTTAAGGACATCTCTGAATTAGGTTTTTATTGATGCTGTAATGAATTACCACAAAGTTAACTAAAACAAAAATTTATTATTGTACAGTTCCGGAGGTCAGAAGTCCAAAATGGGTCTCATTGTAAAATCAAAATGTCAGCAGGGCTGAATTCCTTCTGGAGGCTCTAGAGGAAGTCTGTTTCCTTGCCTCTTGTAACTTTGGAGACTACCTGTATTCCTTGGCCCATGGCCCCTTCCATCTTCAAAATGAGCATTGGCCAGTTGACTCTCAATTGTCTCACTTTGCCTTCCCTGCTTGCCTCATCTGCTTACTAAGACCTTTTAATAACCTTGGACCTACAGGATTATCTCCCCATCTCATGATAAATGATTGGCAGCTTTCATTACATCTGTAATCTTTATTCTCTTTTATCATAAAACATAATATAGTCACAGGCTCCAGGGAGTGGGACAAAAGATCTTCAGGAGCCATTACTCTGTCTACTATAATCCATATATAATACCTTTGCTACATATTTCYTTATCTTCTCAACTCTAATGACCTACCTCTATTCCAACTTAGTCAGTCATAGCCATGGACCACCCTTTGGAYTTTTCCATTGCTCAAAAGTGCCTCAATTCTGAAATCTTAAACTATAAAATTTTTCTTTCTAGTCACAATTTCTAATATTATATAAAAATAGCCAGGGGAGATTATATAGGCCTTATTTACTATGTTAAGTGTAGTCTGGATTTGATCCTGAACAAAGTAAGAAGTCAGTGCAGAGTTTCATCAAAGAGAAAACAAATGAATGGTTTAAGGTCAAGGAAACCACCTTTTAAATATGGAAATATTGGATTAATCATATTAATTTTTCCCTCTTAATCTGATTTTAAATAGGAAAATGAAGAAGACAAATGTGGACCCTTAGGAGATGATAAAGAGATGGCCAGAGAATCTACWAACAAAAAACAGGTAAACCATTACCATTGTTACAAAAAAAAATTGTTCATAATAACAAAACAAAAGGAATAATATAAAGAAGGATAAAAGACCCTCTTACACCCAAGTTCGCCATTTCTACTTCCAAGGGGGTTTCTTAATACTCTTCTAAAAATATGTGCATATACAAACCTATATGTCTGTCGTATTTTTAAAAAGTCAAATTTGTGATATGCTTCTATATCTTGCTTTTTAAAATTTTTCAAATGTAACTCTTAATACCGTCTAACATTAATTCATAGAAATATGTTGAAAAACATTCTCCTATGATTCTCTCAAGTGCCTATATATCTTGGTGGTTGTGTCAAAAATGCAAGGCATCGATTGCTCTTTATGTAGATCATTTCTTAGAGTTGTGTTTGCAGCAAGCAAAATTGAGGGTTTAGGTAATGTCCCTCTCAGGGGCAAAGAGCAGATTGGATTATTGTTGGCTGTAAAACATCAGAATCCCCAGGCTCAGTGTCCCCATCCTATAACACAAACTGGCAACTGTCTGCATCACCTCCCATGGGACTTGAGGGCAAGACACCATCACAAATAAGATGCTCATACTGCAGTATTGTGAATAGTAAAATCCTTTCTTTCTGACCCAAGAGTTTCATGTCTTCTAAGAGTATATATGAAAGAATAATAGGTTAACATATTAGTTGGTAAGCAGATTAAAATCAAAGGCTAGACTTGAAACATAAACCTTGTTCTTTCTAATATTTCTTAGTATTTTCTTTTTACTTTATTTTTAAGTTTCCCAGAGATTCTGATTCATTGGTGTGGAATAKAGACTAAGCATGTATATGCTGAAAAGAATTACCTGGGTGATTCYGGTGTACATTCTGGAAAAGATTTCCCAATTTGTTCTTTGAGTGAGTCTCTAAAATACCCAAAAAGAATATAGAAATAATTTCTCAGAATATTTAGATGTTTGAGAAACATAAAGGAAAAAATAGTGAATCACTGTTTTAAGTAAATGTAGTAAATATATAATATATATGGAGGTGTAAACTTGGCAGAAAAGATTGTTCTGATAAAAAATAACTTGATGAATATGCTTCCCTTTACTTAAGTAACAATTTTTAAAAACATCTTTTGTGGTCAGAATTTCTGGTTTTATTTCTGTYTAATTAACTACTTGACAATTTAAAGTTAACATCATTCAATTCAGTTGCAGCCACTCCCACTGATTGTGTTAATTTGGTTAAACAACATGGGCTCYGGTACTAAGAACTGGGGGACAGYACTGGGGCACTTTACCACTGAACTGCATCCCCAGCCCTTTTAGTTTTTTGAGACAGGATCTCACTAAGTTGCTAAGGCTGGCTTTGAATTTGCAAGTCTCCTTCCTCAGCCTCCTGAGTAGCTAGAATTACAGGCATGGGACACCATGCCTGGTTGGTGCTAAGATTTTTTAATAAGGCATCATCAGTTGTTTTCTAAAGTGACCAGTTTTTAAACAAACTTGATGGAAGTATTCAGAAGTAGACGATAACATACTTTGTATTTAAGGAACATAAGATTCTAAAATAATATGGAAAGGTAAATTTGAAGCTCATTTTAAAAGCTAATACAGACAAATCTTTCATATTTTAGGTGTATTCTTAGATGTAGGTTTTATAAATGTCTTTGTAGTTTAGGAGATGGTTGGTTAGCTCAGAAAGGGAATTTCATGAAATCTCTATTCCTTTTTTCCAGGCATTTCACAAAATATCCTTCCTAATTCCGAACGTTTATACTAATAAATCAACTGACACTTGACTGTTTTATTTTATAGTACTTTGGTCTTGTCCTTAAAGTGATTTCAAATATGTTCTGATAGGGAATCAATAGAGTAAAATCCTTTTGGAAGGAGGTGGGGAATAAGGGACACCCTATCTTCAGCCCAAGTTCCTCTCATGTCATGACTACATTCCCAAACCCAAAGATCAAGTTTACATTCCTTACTATAGAATTGTCTTTATTTTTGTTTTGCTGTGAAAACAACATAGACTACTTTGTGCCTTAGGTAGGACTGATTTTGTTTTTTACTTCTCTGTTTTATCTGATTTTTTTTTTTTTTTTGTACTGATAAGGATTGAACCCAGATCCTTATACCTGCTGGGCAAATGCTCTGCAACTGAACTACATCCTCAGCATGCCCCACTGCCACCTTTATTCTTTTTTATTTTGAGGTGGGATCTTCCTGAGTTGCTCAGTCCAGTCTTGAACTTGAGATCTTCCTTCCTCAGTCTCCTATGTAGCTGGGGTCATAGGCATGCACCACCTTGACTAGCTGTTTTATTTAATATTTTATCTAATATTAGTATTATTACATGAGCTTCTTTTTCACTGATATTTTCATAAGTCAGGGTACTTTAGATTCTAAGTAGCAGAAAGTCTTCACTCAAAGAGTCTCATTAGAACTCTAGAACCCTAGGTAGTGTCCAGCCTGCACGGCTTAATTCAAGTCAGCCCAGTCCCCTCTGGAATACTGCCAAGGAACTCACTTTGGCTGTCAGTTCTCTTTCCTGACACCTGACAGTATGACTTTTGTTTGTGTGTTATAACTTACCTATATAATTATAGTGAGGGACCCAGATACATGAGTCTAGACTGTCATAGTGTTGAAAAATCTTCAGCCAGTTTTTAGGATGTTGAGAATTTTCTTTTTTTTTCAGTGATGACCTCTCTTTCATTCTGCTTTTTACTATCTGTGAATTCTTTTGGAAAGTTCTCTGGGCTTGATTTATCCATGTGTAAAATGAGAGGGGTTTCYAAATCTTTCCTTTTTAACAACTAGAAGCTTAATACCTAATAGTCCTAGACTGGATGGTGTAAAAACCAAGTGAAACCAACTTGGTTCCTRCCCTTTACTAGGTTAAATTGTATTCATCTTTCACTAGAATAAAATAGTGATAATTTGCACATTTAATTGTTTGATTAGTAGAGCCTCAGTTTTAAAAATTTCTGATCTAAAGTAAACACAAAATTTCAGAAATTGTTTTGGACCTAATGCAAAATGTACTTTTGTACAAACTATGTTCAGATAAAGAACTAATCAAAATTTTCATTTTATTAATAAATCAAGTATTATGACAATCATGAGTTATAATTAATAACTTCTTGCCGCAGTCTGGCTGGGCACAAAAATCACGAGCCACTCACAGCCTTGTAGATTCAAACAGCAATTCTTTATTTCCGAACTCTCACCAGCACTCTACACGCACGTTCTGGGAAAATACACCCTCCACCGGGCTCTGCATACCAAATACCCTCTGAATCCCCACAACCAAGCAGCGGGTGCCTGAGGCAGCAGGATACAGCTCTATTCCCAGCAGGATCCACCCCAAACCCAGATCCACCCTAAACCCGGATCCGCCCTAATCCCTGAGCAAGGTCACCTTTCAAATCAAAACTCTCAAACATTCATGCAATGTCACTGCAAATGACCTAGGTCCAAGGCAAGCCCATTTCCACAATGGAGAGTCCTCCCTCTAAGCAACATTGGGTAGCCTGACAAGGAAATTGCCATGCATCATTCCTACTTGGCTATGGCTCTCAGCAAYTTCTTATTTTGTATCTCACTGTAGGTGAAGAAAACTGGTCTCGTGGTGGTGAAAAACATGAAAATTGTTGGTCTCCATTGTTCTAGTGAAGATCTACATGCTGGGCAAATTGCTCTTATTAAACATGGGTCAAGGCTGAAAAACTGTGATCTTTATTTTTCCAGAAAACCATGTTCTGCTTGTTTGAAAATGATTGTAAATGGTAAGTGCAGATAAGGCTTTGTTGGGGATTAGGAATAGATCTGAGAGCAAACAAGGGAACAAATTGCCTAAATCTCACAGAGATCATTTGGAAATACTGATGTATGTCTGAAGACAGTTTGAGACACTGTGCAAAGAGTCAGAAAACAAAGATGCTGTCCTCAACTCTGTCCACTAGTCAGCCTAATGACCCTCAGTGAATTAGTAGACTAGTGCTACTATCTCTAAGAAACCCTAAGATCTCAGTGGTTTAATATATTAGACATCACTCCTGTCATAGCCCAGGTGTTGCTGAGCAACAGGCAGCTTTTCTCTGTGTAGTTGATTAACAGGCCTAGGCATCTTCCATCTTACTACTGTTGTTATACCTGGGGCTTTGAGTCCTCTGAAGCCAGAAGAGGAAGGAAAGAGTAGAGAAGGCATAACTGCTTTTAAAAGCACAGGCYTCAGGAATGTCTGGGGGTACAACTCAGTTGTGTAATGTTTGCACAGTATGCACAAGACTCAGTTCAATCCCCAGCGCCACCAAAATGAAAAAAAAAAAAGTTTTAAAAACAAATAACTAATATGGCTCCTAATCCTTTCCCTCAGGGTGTTACTTGGAGACCAAAATAACAATTTAATGAATACATCATCTAGTGTCCAATGATTGATATATGCTRTAAGTGATAAAATGATCTCAGAGGTGAAAATGATCCCTGTAGGTTGTCATGTTATGAAAGTTTGGGGCTTAAACTAGATCCTGATAGGTCACTCATACAGGAAGGGGAACTCATGGGTGGTCAGGAACAGCAGTCTTTGTAGCATCACTCAGTTGTAAGAAGAAAAGTCCAGTATTTGAAATGAAAGATTATTCCTAAGAAAATAGTGACAGATGGCTTCTAATGGTAGATTGGGGCTTTAGTGGAGAACCTTGAAAAATTACATAGCCTCTGAGCTTTATCTTATGGGACAGAATTCCAGGACCTGTTTTTTAACTGTTTTTATGTACATCCAAGTCTTATAAATACTGATCAGATCTATGTTGAGGTTGGTGCCTTGAACGACACAAGGAAAAACTTCCAGGAGAAAGGTCATGTGGTTAGGAGCTTCCTGGCCTGCAACAAGTATTGCAAGCCTTCAGGTATGTTAAGAGTGACTCTGTAGTCTCTCCACTGTAGTTCCTAATAGAGAAGATAGGTATCACAGTGGTCATGGCTTTTTTTCCTCCTTTGCCCAGTTAACCAGGCAAATTGGACATTCATTTAATCATTTATGTTCAGTTGACTTATGATTCCCATTATAGATGATATGCAGCTATTAAAGGTTTTTGAGCAAGATGAAACATGATTAAATTTTTATTGTTTTTACAGAATTGGATCAGGGAGAAGTTAGCTTGCTTAGCCGACTGATTAGTTCAGATGGTGACATTGATATAGAAAGGAAAGAATGTGAAAGAACCAAAATATTTTCACTCATGTGTTCTAGAGTCAAGGGAGAAGAATGAATAAAAAAACTGCCTGTGCTAAAAGCACCCCTGATCACCTCAGAGCTAAGGCTTAGAATCGCAGGGGAGTGCGAGTCACTCACTACAGCTTCAGTCTGCCAAAAGAGAGAATAAAGTGTGGAAAGAGACCTAGGATGCATTTATGCTGGTGATAGACCCATAAGTAAATAAAATTGCTCTGTTGGTTTAAGTTTACATATTAGTTATCTTGGGAAGGTCGCATGGTTGAACTTATGCTGTAGCTGAACTCCTTTAGTTCCTATCACTGTTACTTCCGGTTAAACCAAAGCAGTCATTTCCTAGCATGGTGATTCTCCTGATGGTCTACAAGATCAACATGTTTTCACAGTAATGCTACATTCACACTAAAGTGACCAAAACAGTGGTGAGTAAAACCACTGTTGCTATAGAYGAAGCAAACTGCCCTAGCAGTCCTTATGCTCTTCACTGCACAAAGAAATAGTTTCACATAAGAAGGGCTTTTATGAAACAGTAAGAGTCATTAATTTCATTAAATTCTAATCCTGAATACACATCTTTTTAATATTCTGTGTAAGGAAAAAGGACTTTGTTATAAAATACTTTTATTACAAACCTAATGTGAAGGTTGCCTTAAGGAAAACCACTTATGTGACTGTTTTGAGTTGCAAACTAAAATGATTCACTTTTTTCATGAAACACCATAATTTGACAGACTATAGTTATTAGCTATTTTGCCTCAAAAATGAAGTGAACCTATCACTTTCAGGAAACAATTGACATTATTTGCTGCTAATCATAAAATTTGAGCATTCAAAGTGAAAATTAGAATTTTGGAAAACCATATCYACCATTTTGAGCTTGACAACTTCCTGATATTTATACTCTTATGATGAGATTGGTGGTGATAGTAATGGACTTTTTTTGAGTATTGTAAAATCAATATCACATTTTCCAAATGACCAGTGCACAAAACTACAGAATCATGCATGAGTAAAACAGCCATTCTAAGTACAAGACAGAAGAGGGTATAGATTCAAAAAGTTTGTTGATATGGTTTCAGATTTCACATTCTAATCTTTTTTTTTTTTTTTTGGTGGTGGTGATGGTGCAGGCATCAGGGATTGAACCCAGGGCCACCTAACCACTGAGCCACATCCCTACTCTTTATATATTTTTTTAATTTTGAGACAGGGTCACACTAAGTTGCTTAGAACCTCACAAAGTTACTGAGGCTAGCTTTGAACTCACAATCCTCCTGCCTCAGCCTCCTAAGCCATTACCTGGGATTACAGGCATGGGTCACAGTGCCTGGTTTGTAACTAGTCTTTAAGAAACTATTTCTTGTCAAATATTTACAATAGTGTCAAAAAAGAATGTTTACAATTATCTAACATGGCTGTTCAAATACTACTTTTTCAACTACATGTCTGTATGAGGCAGAATAATTTTAATATACTTCAGTGTAAACAACCTGTTGGCAACAGATTGAAAGCAGAAGTGAATTTGAGAATCCAGCTGTCTTTCTATTAAGCCAAATACTAAATACWTTTGTAAAAGTTCAATGCCGGGCTGGGAATGTGGCTCAAGCGGTAGCGTGCTCACCTGACATGCGTGTGGCCCAGGTTCGATCCTCAGCACCACATACAAAGATGTTGTGTCCGCTGAAAACTAAAGAAAATAAATATTAAAAATTCTCTCTCTCTCTCTCTCTCTCTCAAAAAAAAAATTCAATGCCATTTTTCTCACTAACTTTGGTTAACTTGGAAAATAGTTTCTTATCATAAAACTGTTATGTATATTAATGACTCTTTTTGTTATTTTAAATGAATTAATAAGTATTTTTTAATTTTTAATAAAATAAATATCAAAAGATGCTATCCATACAAACAAAAACTCTTTGGGGTCCTCAATAAAGGGATCCTAAGATAAAAAATTTGAGAACCTCTGCTATAGCACTTACCAGTAGTATAGAACATTTTAAAGGTGATTCATCTTCCCTTCTTGGATTGGGATTACTAGGAGCAACTAAGATTCATAGATGAATGTTTTACCATCGCTGCTAGCCAGGAAATGGATTATGAGAACTTGAACAGGGAAGATGAAATGCAGCAAGGGGAAAGACTGTATCTGAGCTGTGAGGCCTTTGAAATTGCTTTGCAGCTCAAACCACAGTGAGTTAGGAATAGCAGAGAATAGGCAGAAATACACATCTGTTTACTTTTTAGCTCATCTATTACTTTGAAAGATGGGACACCAGAGGGCTATCTGTCTATTCACTTCTGGGCACAATCATAAAAAAAAGTCTCTCCAAGCTGAAATTACATGAGACTACCAGCAAGAAAAAAGTCTTTGTTGTAAACTATTTGTTAATTGACAAATATTTGGGTATTTGTGTATAAGGTACCTTCATTGTTCAAGTTCAGATACAAATTAAAATATTTTTTCATATGTTTGTTATCTAGTTATATTTTTCTCTTTTGTAAATTTTTCATATCTTTTGTCTCTCTTGAGATCTCATTCTTTTTGTCAATTCATATATACTCTCAATGATTTAAAGTCTTTTCTGTGTATTAAAGATTACCAATCTTTCTTCTGCCTCATTGATTGAAAAATGTTCCTTTATTTTCTTGTTTTGTCTTCAGTGTTGTGGCTTAAATGAATTAATATTGCTGACACACCACTACTCTAGCATCACATAAGTAATTTTCATGTTATGAATTCTATGTGGACACTTTTTTATAACTATGAGGAATATATGATTTGTCTAACCATTCCCTATGTTGGTTGTCTATTATTTTTAATGTCTTAAAGAATGCTGCATTAACTGTGTATACATGAATTTTTCTTTCCAGAAGAATTCTGAGTCYAAGACAGAATCATTTGTAATGCATTAATGAATTGTTGATTTCTAAATACAAAACTTTAGACATGACCAAATGCTATTTGTAACATTTCTAAAAGCAGCCATGGCACTGTGGAAGGTGCTGGTATACAGTCCCAGTGCTGGGCTTTGGGACCATACTCAGCAAAACCAGTGAATCCACAAATCCTTCCCCTGGGCTCTGTTTGGGGTCAATTAGCTTTGTCTCAAAAAGGCAAAAGTGTAAATATTTTAAATTTATAGGCAATGTCATATCTGTCACAGCTACTCAACTCTGCCATGCAAAGGCAGCCAAAGATTGTATAAATGAATCAATGTGTCTAATTTTGTGTTATGATATAGTCTTGTGTTTTTTCAAATTAGTTAACCTATGAGCTGTACAAAAATTCTCAATGGACCAGATTTGGCCTATGGATAATTATTTGCCAAACCTCAGATGGATTAATAGGTGACTTCATGGTAGACATTTATTGTATTGGGCCCTCTTGATCTACTGCATTGCTAAGATGGGTTTATCAAGAAAATGTATATTCAGCATGTATCAGATAATTATCTTTCATATTTTGTATTTCAGCTGGAGTTAATCGAATTTCATATTGGCCTGCTGATCCAGAAATAAGTTTGCTTACTGAGGCTTCTAGTTCTGAAGATGCAAAGTTAGATGCCAAAGCTGTGGAAAGACTGAAGTCAAACAGTCGGGCCCATGTGTGTGTCTTACTTCAACCTTTGGTGTGTTATATGGTGCAGTTTGTAGAGGAGACTTCCTACAAATGTGACTTTATTCAAAAAATTACAAAGACAGTACCAGATGCTAACATTGACTTTTATTCTGAATGTAAACAAGAAAGAATAAAAGAATATGAAATGATATTTTTGATTTCAAATGAAGAAATGCATAAGCAAATCCTGATGACTATAGGTCTGGAGAACCTGTGTGAAAATCCCTACTTTAGCAATCTGAGGCAAAACATGAAAGACCTTATCCTAATCTTGGCCACAGTAGCTTCCAGTGTGCCCAGCTTTAAACACTTTGGATTTTATTGTAGTAATCCAGAACAGATTAATGAAATTCACAATCAAAGTTTGCCACAAGAAATTGCAAGGCACTGCATGGTTCAGGCCAGGTTATTGGCATATCGGACTGGTGAGTTAAATGCTTAGTTCATAAATTGGGGCAAATTGGTTTGGTTGTATTTGTCTCAGAAGTAAAGTGGTRTGCATCTTATCTATGGCAGAGTTCATTTGCTCCTAGATATTAAAGTTTGGCTGTTCATGCTGAAGTTTGTGAGACTTGTGTAGGCAACTCTTCCTATGAGCAGTTTGGGACTTCCTTGTGGCCCTTTATTCAGCACTACATTTATAATTCAGGACCAAATTATCTAATTCGTCTTTCTCCTTGCATTTATGATTTCTGTTTGTCAAGCCTTCCACTAAAAATGGGACAAAGAGAAAACTAAAATCACTCTTGTTAACTCTTCAATATTGTTTGTATTGAGTATTTGATGAAAACTTGGAAATATGTAAAATTAAAAATATGAATTCAAAATAACTAATACAATGAAAGTAAAGGAATGTTGGTTATTGCAGATTTTCTCAGTTGCCGGTATGTCTTTAATCAGAAAACTGAGAAATTAAACATTTTTACTTTATTGTGTTGTATATGTGGAGAAGGAAAATAYTACTTGAGAATATTCTTTATTGTGATAAAATGTATCTGTATTTCCAATTATGGAGCAGTATTTTCAAGAATTACTAGATGTAGTATTTTTTGAAAGAGAATCMTGACCACTTTAAAAAATGCAACTTGAAAATAAGTGGGAAAAATGCAGGCAGGGAGAACAGTAGAGTAAGATTAGTTTGTGGAGTGGACTATAATAGGAATTTTAAATTATCCCAAAAAGGAGAAAAGAAGGAAAATCAGAAAAGGTCCATGCCAATGCTATTGGTCAGATTGAAATAAATTCAGTAGAATGGAGGAACTCAACTGACAGCATGTTTTGCAGAATCACCACAGAAACTTTAATAAAAAGTCAGATGCTCAAACTCCTCCCCAGACCCTGTTCAACAATTGCTCTAACCAAGTGTGACCTAGGTCTATTTTTAAAAACTTCTACAAGGAGCCAGGGATGGTGGCACACTCCTGTAATCCCAACTACTTGGGAGGCTGAGGCAGGAGGATCATAAGTTCAAGGCTAGTCTGGGCAACTTGGCAAGACGCTGTCTCAAAGTTTTAAAAAAGAATAAAAAGGGCTTGTGTGTGTAGCTTAAGAGTAAAGTGCCTCTGGGTTCAATAGACCAGTCCAAAAAAAAAAGACATGATGAAAATGAATTCCMAAACCTCTGAAGTTCTAAAACAAATTGCAAGTGGGGGTTTAATAATTGCTTTTTAAATGATTAATAATGAGGATCCACAGAAGTGTTGTTAAATGAATGCTTCTTGGATATTAGAGTAGCAAAAAGTGACAAAATGTGTTCAGACTCATGGGGGGAAAGAGTAAAAGGCATCTCATGTTATCTATCTRGTTTAAGTGTTGAGTTGTGATCTCCTTTTGTGTCCTAGAAAAAGTGTTTTCCAAAACCATTTTTATATGGATGAAAACTTATCCTATTGGAAAACACACATAGTAAAGAATATTCTCTTGGTGTAATTGATCTTTGCAAGGCAGCAAAGCTGCATGCTGATGAAAAAAATCACATCTTTCCCTCTCCTAACAAGGTTTAGTCTRTCCCCAGACTGAACAGAAAATGTGGATCCTGAGATTAAAAAACATAACATGAAAAAAAAAATGTTGATAGGAAAAGTAGACTCTTAAAATGAAGAATTTCTGTTTTCATTTTTTACTTCTGATTTATGTACATATTAATAGAACTTACCAGTMAAGATTTTGTTTTTGCTCGCAAATATAATCTTATGTTTATAATATTGTCCACTTGCCTCAGAAATGAGCATAAAGCCATTAATTTATATCTTTTTTCCTCATGTTAAGGTCTAGGTCACGTAAAGGTCTAGGAAGAAACAAAATTTTGTTTATGYCATAATCTCCTTTTCCTCCACACTGTAGAAGCCAGTCACCAGACATCCTCTAGACCTCAGTATCCCATTCATCTTCAGGGCACAGCACACATCTATGTCTTTCCTTAGTAAGCCTTCTGCCCAGTCAGCTGTGAGTTGCTTGAGGAACATTCACCATACTTGGAACACAGGCACTCAAAAAATGGAAGCCTTTGTTGTGGAATTCTTAATGGCAAAGAGGGAGGTGGAGGAAAGGCAAATAGATTGGGTCACAAGGGCCGAACTTCATTCACTGAATTTCTCWGCCTGTTTTCTTACTTACAGAAGGGAATCAACTTTTATCTTTAGATAAAAATGAGATGGTGAATAAAAAGTGCTTAACATAAATTACTTAAATCCTTTGTAGTATGATTTTGAAAGCCTGAGTACTTGAACTAGAGATGGGAAATTTTATTGGCATATCATAACTTTTAAAAAATTAGTTATAAGGCATCCTAGTTTTTTAATATAAAGTGGCACAAATTTTCTTTGTGCTTTTACTGAAAAAAGTAGGTATTAAAATATATATTTTAACTGGAAGGATTTTAACTTGTAAGAAAYTGTAAGGGGAAGCCATAGTTTCACTCATCAGTATGATAATGAACTTAGGTAAGTTTACAGATAATTCTTATTTTTTCTATKTAAGTATATCATCCAAACTACATTAGTCCTCTATGATTTTGACAAATACTATGGTTTTCATAAGTAGTGTATATTTGTCTTAGGAATTTGAAACTCACCCTATGTGGAAGGAAACTAGATCCTAATATGTGTAGTTTCTTTCTTTCTTTTTTTTAAAATATTTTTTTAGTTGTAGTTGGACACAATATCTTTATTTTACGTACTTATTTTTATGTGGTGCTGAAGATCGAACCCAGTACCTCACACATGCTAGGCGAGGGCTCTACGGAGGAGCCACAACCCCAGCCCCCTAATATGTGCAATTTCTATTTTGGTTTTTTATTTTTTGTTTCACATTAATGGTTTTAAGAAGGACCACTTATTGCAAAAGTTTTTGTTCTGCAAGAGAATTAAAATTTTATGTTTATAACTTCTGCCACTTGATTTAAAAATGACCATAATATCACTAACATAGCATTCTTTTCCCTCTTAAACTATGCAGGTCAAGAAAATGACAATATTTTGTTTAAATCAAAATTTTCTTCATGTATCTTTCACCAGTATGTAGACATGCAGATATAAAAGTTCATAAAGATTTTATTTTTTTATTAGAAGTTTGAACTTTTTGCATAGCAAGAACACTTCCATAAAATATATTTTCCATGATTAGAACGTTAAAAAGACTAGAAGACACATTTGATTGTTGTGAGTAGATATTGTACTCACAATTATCAAAAACTACTTTTTTACTCAGTTACATCATCTATTAGAAGTAGTCATTTAGGAACTGAACAGACTGTTCTCAAAATAAGTACAAATGGCCAATAATTATATGAAAAAAGTTTAGCATCTTTAGGGAAATACAAATCCATCAGGGAAATGCCAATCAAAACTACATCGATGGTCTGAGGCTGTAGCTCAGTGGTAGAGCACTTGCCTAGTATGTGTGATGTACTGGGTTTGATCCTCAATACCACATAAAAATAAATAAATAAAATGAAGGTATCGTGTACATTTACAACTAAAAATATTTTTAAAAAAATAAAACTACATTGAAATTCTATTTCATATCAGCACAGTATTGCACACCTGTAATCCCAGTGGCTCAGGGAGCTGAAGCAGGAGGATCACAAGTTCAGTGCTAGCCTCAGCAATTTAGCAAGGCCCTAAGCAACTTAGCAAGACCTCATCTCAAAATGAGAAGTAAAAAGGACTGAGAGTGTGGCTTAGTAGTTAGTTTTGATACTGATTCAATACCCAGTATACAAAAAAAAAAAAAGAAAAGAAATTCTCTTACTCTAGTTAGAATGGCAATCATCAAGAATACAAATAATAATAAATGGTAATGAGGATATGGGAACTAGGAACAACTGTACGCTGYTGGTGGGAATTAAATTAGCATGGTCACTATAGAAATAAGGATGTAGATTTCTCAAAAAACTAAAATTAGAATTACCATATGATCCAATTATACCAAAATTCCTTAGTATATTCCAAAAGAATTAAGGTCAGCATATCATGGAGATACCTGTATACCTGTTTTTATCATGCACAATTCTGAATACCCAAGCTACAGATCTGCTTGGGTGCCTGTCAACATATGAATGGGTAAAGAAAATGTGGTGTATATACACACATACACACACACACACACACACACACACACACATATACATACAAAGGAGTAGTATTCAGCCATGAATTCATGTCATTCACAGGAAAATTGATGGGACTAGAGATCATCATGTTAAGCAAGAAAGACAAGTACAGCATGTTTTCTCTCACGTGGAATCTAGAAAAGAAAGCAACAAAAAGACAGCAATGTAGAAAGGAGACTGTTAGTTGAAGAGTGGGAGAGGGCGAGGTAAGGGCGGGTAACAGTAGAAATGAGCAAAATATGTTATATATAAATACAAATATGAAACCCAAGATTCTGTGCAATTAATATACACTAATAAAGAGAAGTAGTCATTTGGAAACTGATCTGTTAGTGGAGAATCAATGAAGTTGTGCTTAGTTCTGGTTGTAGCTTTGAAGTGATCTGACTGGCCACTGCCATATTAGTGGTCTCCACATGTATATCATGTGTGACTCAGTAATAACCCAATCTATTTCTTTGCTACCTAGCTCCCATATTTCATACTTTGAAGTCTTTACTTTAATACTTCTCTGTAATTAGTAAAGATGTCAAGAATTGTTAGGATGATCATGAAGAATGTTTCAAAATATATGTTTTTATTATTTTTGGAAAAGTGTATTTCTGAAACTAACAGTCATTGATTTTTACTGAGTTCAATGTCATGTCTTTCAGAGGATCATAAAACAGGAGTTGGAGCAGTCATTTGGGCAGAAGGAAAATCTGTAAGTATGGAAATAAATYTTTAAATATTTAACCTGGATTTTGTTTAAACATAGTTCAGTCTTTAGTGCATTGCATTTTTGGTTTTGTTTTTGCTTTTGCTTTCTGAGACAGACTCTCACCATGTTTTCCAGATTGGCCTTGAATTCCTGAGCTCAAGCTTAGCCTTACCCTCCTGAGTATCTGGCACGACAGGCATGCATCACCGTGTCTGGCAGTGCACTACATTTTATTGACCTGTTGAGCTTAATATTTTTCTATTGGTGCATTGTGAAATTCTGTAAACATTTGCTCATTCCCTCAATAATTTTTCTAGACTCATCAATTTAACATTTATTAAACACTTTCTATAAGTTAAGCACTGTGTCACAGTGTACATCAGGGATTTAAAGATCACATTTTCTGCCTTTCTTGACCTCATAGCTAATGATGGAGACAGAGAGGTAAAAAAAGAGACTGGCATATATGTGTAATTATAATCAGTACTGTGAGAACATGGAGAAGGACCTTGACTATGCTTGGGGAAACGAGGGGAAATGAGAGAGATTCTTGGAGGTGGTAGCATGCTATTAGTCTTGAATGARCAGGAGTTCATCAAACAGAAAAAGTTAGAAGGACCAGGAAGATAACATGCAAAGGTAGAGGGCTAGAAAGAGAAGATAGGAAAAAGTGACTTGGGATCCAAAGTCCTTTCTAGAATGGGCAGAAAATTGGACTGAACTATAAAGAATGTTGTAGACCATGTGAATATCTATAAATATTTATAAATAAATATTAAAATCTATAAATATTTATAAATAAATATTTATTTATTTTGAGTAGTACCGAGATTGAACTCAGGGGCAGTCGGCCACTGAGCCACATCCCCAGCCCTATTTTTTATTTAGAGACAGGGTCTCACTAAGTTGCTTAGCACCTCCCTTTTGCTGAGGCTGGCTTTGAATACTCGATTCTTCTGCCTCAACCTCCTGAGCTGCTGGGATTACAGGTGTGCACCWCCGTGCCTGGTGTCTGTGAACTTTAGAACTTTAGTGYATCCCCTAGAACAATACTTATCAGTAGAAATGAAATTTAAGCCACATATGTATCTTGAAATTTTCTAGGGAGTGGTGAATTTTAAAAATARGTGAATTAAGGTAAACAGGCAAAGAAAAGAAATAAATGTAAGGTGAAGAATATATTTTATTGGAAACAATCTAAATGTCCATCTACTGATGACTGGATAAAGAAAATGTAGTATATACACACAATGTAATACTWTTCATCCATAGAATGAAATTCTCATTTTCAGCAACATGGATGGAACTGGAGATTATTATGTTAAGTGAAATAAACCAGGCACAGAAAGATAAGTACTGCATGAATTCACTTATATGTGGAATGTTGATCTCATAGAAGTTTAGAGTATAATGGTGGTTTATTAGAGACTGGGAGGGGAAAGGTGGTGGAAGCAATGGGGAAAGGTTGCTCAATGGGTAATAAGTTACAGTTAGATGGGAGCAGGAAGTTTTGGTGTGCTGATGCACAGGAGGGTGACTATAGGTAGCAATAATATACTGTGTGTTTCAAAAAGCTAGAAGAAAGGAGTTTGAATGTTTTGTTTTGTGTGTCTTTTTGTACTGGAGATTGAAACCATGGGTGCTTGACCACTGAGCCACATCCCCACCCTTTTCATTTTTAATTTTGAAGCAGAGTCTCACTAAGTTCCTTAGGGCCTTGCTAAATTGCTGAGGCTGGCTTTGAACTCACAATCCTTCTGCCTCAGCCTCCCTAGCCACTGGGATTATAGKCATGTGCCACCATGCCCTGAAAGGAGTTTGAATATTTTCATCATAAAAAATGTTAGATATTTAATACATATCTGTAATCCTAGCAGCTCAGAGGCTGAGGCAGGAGGATCATGAGTTCAAAGCCAGCCTCAGCAAAAGTGAGCTGCTAAGCAACTCAGTGAGACCCTGTCTCTAAATAAAATACAAAATAGGGCTGAAGATGTGATTCAGTGGCTGAGAGCCCCTGAGTTCAATCCCTGGTACTCAAAAAAAAAAAAAAAAGTTATTTAAAGTGATAGATACGTTTAATCTGATTTAAATATTACACAATGTATACATGTATCAAAAATCACAATACCCCAGAAATGTTTATAAATTTGACTTTTATGTCAGTTTAAAATTTAAAAGACAAAATAAGGGGCTGTGGCTGGCTCACSGGTAGAGTGCTCGCCTAGCACATATAAGGCCCTGGGTTCGATCCTCAGCACCACATAAAAATAAATAAATGAAATAAAGGTATTGTGTCCAACTACAACTAAAAAATAAATATTGAAAAAAATAAATAATATATTTAATCTAATATGTCCAAAGATATTATTTTAACATATAATCAATATAAAAATTACTAATAAGCCAGGTGGTTCACACCTTTAATCCCAGTGTCTCTGGAGGCTGAAATAGGAGGATCAATAGTTCAAAGCCAGCCTCAACAACAGCAAGGTGATAAGCAACTCAGTGAGACCCTGTCTGTAAATAAAATACAAAATAGGCCTGGGGATGTGGCTCAGTGGTAGAGTGCCCCTGAGTTCAATCCCTAGTACCTTAAAAAAAATTACTAATAAAATCTGCATTTTCTTTCATTATTAAATCTTACAAATCTCTGTATTTTACACTTATAACACCTTTCAGTTTAGACTAACCACATGTAGTCAATGGCTACTATATTGGAACTTATAGTCCAATAATCTTTTAAGTGAGAAAATGATATTATCATATTTGCATTATAAAAGAATGAAGTAGAGTGAGACRGGAAATAGGGAGATAGATTAATATAAAAGAGATAATGAGGACTTGATATTATGGGGGGGTGGGTAGGAGGGCCATGAAATTAGATTTATTTAGGAACTATATACAGCTGATTGAAATATTAGCCTGTTTTGCTTCAATGGACTTTACAAGCAAATTGACTATTTGCTCCAGTGTTTTCTAAGCCCTTCAAGGTCAACCTAGCCAACAAATCCAGTATCTTCCCTGCTAACCTGATCCTTCACCAATGGTTACCGTTTCACTCCCTGGTCCTTCACACGTATAAGTTAGTGCTATGGAGTCCATCTTCGAAGTACCTCTTAACTCTMCTTATCTCAGCCAGAAATCCCAATAGCATTTTGTACAATTTGTATGTAACATTCATCACACTTACAGTTGTGTCCCATCTTGTTTTTCCTTTCCAGATTGTAAGATTCATGAGGGCAGGGACCTGTCTGCTTTACAGCTATATCAGCAGCACCTCATACAGGTCCAGCCTATGGTTGAAACTCTCATTGTGTTATGTGAATGCTTTAGCAGCCTTTTAACTTAAACATCTGGTTCTCAACTGCTTTGTGGAGAATTTAAGTCCAGTTGTCTCTAGTGTAAGCAGGCTGCTTGGTGAAGTATAAAGACATGGGCTTGGAGTCAAGCAACCTGGGTTCAACTTCTGGTTGTTTTTATTAGCTCTGTAACCTCACATTAGTTATTTAATCTCTTGGCCTCAGTTTCCTTATCTATAAAATTGGAATAATAACAATATTACTTTCTAGGTTTTTTCAAGGACTGAGCCGATGAAATGATTTATATAAAACCAGTTTGACATTTGGTAAATGTTCAATATGAATTTATTAATGAGATAATATTTAATGTTCAAGCTTTTGTTAGCTGATTTTTTTATCTTCTTGTTGGCTGATTATAACAGTGAYTTTTATTAAGCTTTCTARAGAATGAGATTGTTGATATGATCAYTTGAGTAGTTATAATAGATTGAAATTTAATAAGATTTATAGCATATTTCAAACTGTTATAAACACTTACCATTGATAAAATATCATCCTAATAATTGGTAAGACATTCATATTAACAACTAATATGCCTTTGGTCAYGAATAAGAAAGAAGCCAGGCAAAGT